GGCTCCTTTTATCTCTTGTGGTATCCATCAGCTTTGCCCTAAGGGTTATAAGGCCCAACTAGATTGTACATTCCTTTCATGATTGCAAGATAACCTAAGGAATTTCAAACATCAAATGTGCACACAGTGACATCCAAAAGTAAAAGAAGAGATTTTTCTTCCAACTATCTCTTTTTAAAGTAGAGGAAACTTGGGACAACTGGGTGACTGCCTTAGGCTCAGGGAATGATCCTGGAGGGAGTCCCACATCGGGGTTCTTGCATGGAGCCTGCTTCTCCCTCTGCCTGTGTCTCTGCCTCTCTCTCTCTCTCAATCTGTCTCTCATGAATAAATAATAAAATCTTAAAAAAAAAAACTGTAGAGAAAACTTGCTCACAAACCTCCCCTCCCTTCTGATACTCCCACCCACCCTGCCCCCCTGCTGGCAGATATACCCTTAAGTCTCATTAGTCAGAATTGAATCACATGTTCTAAACCAATTATTAACAAGGGAATCAGGACTCTGCTTAGGGCAATTAGGATCTGATCCAGAGTCATAGAGGGCAGAAGTATGCCTCTCAACAGTAAGAAGAGGAAATGAGGCTTGGCAGTTGGATAGGCATTGCTACATTATTCTGAACTTTGCCTTATTTGTTAGGCTATATCACTTGGAGATTATATCAGTAAAATCAGTCATTTTGAAATTGAGGAGAAAGAGAGAAAAAGCCATCATCTCCAGTAGTCAAACAAAAATGATGTGTCACTTGGTCAGTAAACTATTCTATGACATAGAATATTAATGAGTCTCCTCAAATACACCTAGAAAAAAAGAGATTCAAAAACCAAAATTTTAAAAAAATTTTAAAATTAAGTTATGCCAAAATTGAAGCTAATCTCCTAGGTGACTAACAGGCCCCTCTGACAAAGGGGCTGTCCTCTCTCACACCCATTCATCCTCACACACACCCCTCATTGCAAACTAAACCTCCCTTGGAAATCTCTACCTTTCCCCAGTTCTGCTGGGCCACATCTACTTTTTAATTTTTATTTTTTAAATTTATTCATGAGAGACACAGAGAGAAAGGCAGAGACACAGGCAGAGGGAGAAGCAGGCTCCTTGTGGGGAGCCTGATGTGGATTCAATCCCAGGACTCCGGGATCACAAACTAAGCCGACGCTCAACCACTGAGCCACCCAGGTGCCCCAGATCCAAAGTTCTTAATTAGGTGATCTCACATGTTTATAAATATGTTCATGGTAATACTACTACTACTACTAATACCCTATAACTTATTAAGCATTGTCCTTTAATCCGATTATCTCATGAGGCAGGTATTATTTTCCACTATTTATACATGTGTAAACAAAGATGGGATTAATAACTGCCAGCTTCCCTAAATTTTGTTCCCACTTCCAACTTAGAACCAACCAGTAAAGGCCAAATATGCACCCCTAACCATTATGTAGGATGCCCACCTTCTAGTTAGTCTGCCTACATCTCTCTCATCCTAGGAGCCTCCAATCAGGGCATACCTAAAGCCTTCCTCTTTTTCACTGTAATGCTTTCCCACTCCTCTGCCTTTCTGAAGTCTCTGTTAAGACACAATTGGGGATGCCTGGGTAGCTTAGTCAGTTAAGCATCTGCCTTTGGCTCAGGTCATGATCCCAGGGTCCTGGAATTGAGCCCCACATGGGGTTCCCTGCTCAGCAGGGAGCCTGCTTCTCCCTCTGCCTGCCACTCTCTCTGCTTGTGCTTTGTCTTTTGCTTTTTCTGTCAAATAAATAAATAAAATCTTAGAAAAAAAAAGACACAGTGATGGTGGCTGACTTCCTTACTATAACAAGTTTGAAATAACTGGTCTTTGGATGTTTTCATTTGGTTAATCATCATTTACTACAGATGTCTTAGGTCAACTTCCCCAGGAAATGGACTTTGAAATTCACTCAGGTGTAGGTTTATTGGGGAATAGTCTCTAGGTCATCCCCTGTGAAGGGGATGATGGAGACGGGATGGGGCAGAACTGAACTGTGACACAGTTGCACTAGCGCTTTAACTAACCTCATGGGGAGCTCCGGGTTGGGATGGCCCTTCACAAATGTACCCTGGCCTGGATCAGTTGTTGGATACAGGATTCCCTTGAGAAAGAGAGGACTCTTAGGCAAAGGAGATCTCTTTGACGAAGGCATGTCCAAGGGGAAATCCTAGCTCAGCAGTCAACACTCTGGGCATCCAGGGAACAAGTGCTTGAATGACCTTCAGGGCAGAGAAAGGGTGGAGATTAGAAGACCCTACCAAACACACAGTTGGCAGCAGATCTAACTAATGACTAATGAGTCTAATCACTCTAACATAAACATTGAATCCAAGTTTAAAGCTCTCTTCACTACAGTATAGCTAGCTGTCTTCACTCAAAAAAACATGACAATGGAGATTTTGTGATCATTTATTTTCTGTCCTCCTAATCCAAAACCAAGACCATATTTGTAAAATGATTCTGACATTTTTAGTAAGTGATTGTGTGCATAGTGGTTGACTCAACTGAATATTGTATTTGAAAGATCTGAAATAAAACTCAACCAACTGAAGCAGTTAATTATTCCCATTTTAAGGCTATACATCCCCTAGCGGAAATTATTTTATCTTAGTTTAGATATTAATAAAGTATATCTTAGAAGTTAATAAATTAGTAATTTATTCCTTAAAAAAATCTAGTTCCCCATCTTATTTTCATCACTAGTATATGATTATTGCAGGACTTTTGGCTTTACTTGAGCTAATTAAACTCAATATTTCTTTTTTCTTTTTGGTTTTACAAATAAAGCAATTGATACTGTATCCAGCAATGGGAATTTTCCTGAAGATTATCAGAAACATATACCATGTCCTGTCTACCGATTGGTCTGAATAGTCCCTTTAATATTTGTAAATAAGTCTGAGACTTTAAAAAAAAATCCATTAGCATTTTCTCTCACTGTCACACGACATTTTGAATATATTATTCATCGTTCCTAAAGCTTTTAGCTTTTTCCCTTTTCTGTTTGTCTGGAAATTCCCTCATCCATACCTACTTCCTTCTTCCTCCCCGCAAAAGGAGCCACCTCTTGATTAACTTTGTATGGGATCTCAGCCAAGTTGTAATCCTAGGTAGCTTTTGCCCTTAGTGTAGCATGCATTTGAGTCCTAAGGCTTAATAGGGGAATCTATTAAAACAGAAGATATTAGAGATTCATCCTAGATCTAAAGATTTGGAATTTCTGGAGGTGATGTTATTCTATGTGGAAATTATTGAGCAAATATTAAATGCAGTACTGGATGAGGTAATAGGGAGATCACAAAGATAAAAACATATAATTTACTTCTCTAAGTACTTATTGACTATCTACTATTGTTCTAAACTACCAAGACATGGTCCCCAAATTTGGATTTATATTGTTCACTGGGGAGTTTTTTTTAAGATTTATTTTAGAGAGAAAGAGAGCACGCGCATGTGCACATGTGAGTGGGGGGAGGGGCAGAGAGAGGGGGAGAGAGAATCTCAAGCTCACTCCTTGTTGAGCATGGAGCCTAAGGTGAAGCTCCACCCCACAGCCCTGAGATCATGACCTGAGCTGAAATAAAGAATTGAAGTCTTAACAGACTGCACTACCAGGTGCCTCAAGCTGTGGAGATTTTTAAAAATAAAGTTCCTGGACCTCACATTAGCTCTACTGAATCTAAATATCTGGAGGTGAGATGGAAAATCTTTAGTGTATAAGGCTTCCCAAGTGATTTGGGACCAGTTATTTGGGAATATTATTCCAGAGACCACAAAAATGAGTGACGCAGAGTTTTTTTTTTGAAAGGAATGTATAAACTGGTATGTTGAGCAATATTCTCTAGCAAGTTTCCTAACTCTGCCTTATATTCACAGCTTCTAAAATTTACTCAGCTGTTTTTCTCTGAAATGTCTTTTCCTAATGTCTGAAAATCTTGTCAATCCTTCAAGATCCATTCAAATGTGAGAAGATTTGGGACTACATTCCCTGTCACCACCTTCTGACCCCACATCCATTACACAAGCCAATGTTGTAGAATCACCCTTACGATATCCACTTGACCCCTCATCTCCCACTATTTAGCTCACCTGAACCACCAAATGGCCTTTTAACTCATCCCTCACACTCCATCTGCCCTCCTGACTCCAATGTATTCTTTACAGTTCTATTAATCTTGCACAGTTCAATTTTAACTACTTTTTCCTATTGCAAATAAACTTTACTATTTCCCCATTACCTATAAAATTAGGAATAAAAATGCCCCAAACTTCTAGCATTCCAAACTTCTGTATCAATTAGACTTCCTTTGGTTCTAAGTCATAGAACCAACTCTAATTTAAGCAGAAAAAGATATAGGCTAGTTCCCAAAATTGAAGTTTCAATCATTTCCCTTCTTTGTAGGATTCTTCCCCAAATTCTCATTCTTAGAGAATCTAATTCAATATATTCTCAACTGTTGTTAACAGAAAGAAGACACTGACTGAAAGACCACTTACAATTGCACTCACTGGGTAAAGATAGTTCTTTGAAAGCAAAACTAGGGTTAGTTTTACCAAAAGGGAAAGGGAATGTTAGGAGAAAAACCAAGATATGTCCACTACTCCCCAAATATGGGAAGTATAACTGATCATGATGGAGAGGAGTTCTGTGCTTTCCTTTTTGAGGAAAGTTGGGATGGAGGGGATGGACCAAGGAAGCTAATACTTGGTAGTCTCAATATTCTCAGGATTGGAGGAGAATAGGCTAGTGCTTTGAGGTAAATGCTTAAACAATGTGAGAATGATTCAAGAAGTAATTGTGAGTCATAAAGGGAAAGATAAACTATTTTCGTTTTTTCTATGAACAAGTAATTTCTATACAACTACAATGTTTTTTGCCAAACCCTCAATAGTATTTTTTGAAAAATATTTTAACCCCCATAATACAAGAACAGCCAGAATTTTATTAAGGAGAAAGTCAGTAGAGTAGCAGTAACTTCTGTATCTTTAGGAGGGTAACAAGTCTTCCACCTCCAAGTTCAAGAAAGGCTCAATGATCTCCCGTAGTTCCCACATTCTGCGGCGACCGAGCATTGCGGGGAGTAAGCTTTCAAAGATAAATGTAGCATCGAAAAATAGTATGTAACATGAAAGTCCAGTGAAGGTGAGGACATAAAATATGATGAAAATCCTCAGTGCACGCTTCCTACAAGGAAAGAAAACACATCTGTGTTAAGAACATTCTGAAAGAAACAGCACTGATGAAACTCCTGGCTCCTCCACCAGGTAGTTCTAGAACTTCAAGAAAATAACTGAGTTTCTCTTGACTTCAGTTGACATCTGCAAAAGAAGGAGCTTGGAGTCGTTGAACACTTACTTCCATCCTAGGGCTGGGATTAGAATTCTAAAGTTCTATAGCCATAAGATAATGAAACCCTGGAAATTATGAGCCTCCTTTGAAATGCTCTTCTCACACTCTAGCAGATTATTGACATCTTTACCTCACTTGTGACTCACATGACACCGACTTGGAGGGAAATAAAGGAAAAGGCAGTTAGATTTTCCTGAGGATATAAAATGCAATGTGAAAAATGGAGTCTCGCCCTATCGCTAGTTTTGTCCTAGCACCAGACTTAATCCTCTTAAACTTTCTCAAATCTTTAGGGACTCCTCCTTCTAGGCTGTATCTATGATGTATTTTATTTATTTGCTTTTAAATCCGTGCACTATTATTTTCTAATTACAAATGCAGTGCATGATTAGGGTAAAAGATCTGGAAGATCCAGAAAAACACAGAGAAGGAAAAAAGTGTCACAGATAATCCAGTTACCGGGAGATAATTACCATCAATAATATATTTCAGAAGAGAAAATTTAGAGCACACTTAAAGTTAGCCATGGATTTATTTTGTGATCCAACTCAGTGGAATCTGTAAACCTGAGCCAAGTTGCATGGCATTATTGCCACTGGCTGTCTCTCAGTAGTTACACAAGTAATTGCTTGCATTTCACATTTTTTTAAATTAAAGATTTATTTATTTCAGAGAGAGAGAGAGAGAGAAAGAATGAGCATGAGGGGCACAGAGAGAGGGAGAGACAATCTCAGGCAGATTCTGCACTGAGTATGGACTCCCGGGCAGGACTTAATACCATGATCCCAAGATCATAACATGAGCTGAAACCAAGAGTTGGTCACTTAACCTACTGTGACCCAGGCACCCCATCACATTTTATTAGAAAGCAGAGAAATGAAAAAGTTATAATCTCATCACTGTGATATCATCAGCTCAGTTGTTTCTTTTTTCTTTTCTTCTTTCCTTTCATTTGTTCATTCTTTCTTTTTTCCTATTTTTGTGCTAATTTTTTTTGTTTTCTTTTTCTTTTGGTTTGTTGTGTATTATTCCAGTTTTTTTTTTCCTTTAGTGAATACTCTAGGTATGGTTGGGTTCAGATTTATGTACTTATTTCTTTTCAGTTATTTATCTTTCAGATTTATTTTTTGACACTGCTGAATTGTTTGATATTTATTTACAAGTCAACATAACTTAAAATATTTTTCAGCTTTTCTATTATTAAACAGATAAAAGAACATGTGTAACATTTATTTTTTAAAGTACAGACATTTTTCTTTGGGAAACATCATGGGTACTAATTCAAAATAATTTCTTTCATATTGCCTGTGTGAAACCAAATATTAGTATCATTAAATATTTTATTCATTTTCAGTTTACATTCTTTAAAGAATAAAGACATTCTTTGACTTTTTTAATACTGTTTATTTATATATTTCTTTTTCAAGACTTGCCATGCATAAGACCTTCAATCTTTTCCAAAATGTTCACACTGTTTGTGAAAGGTCTCTAAGGGAACTGAGGAATTGGGGACTATACCAGGAAGAGGTACTCTCTGAGCCCAAAACAACAAAACTGATACATAATGATTGACTAAGTCTGCAAAATCAACCTCCTCAAAAAGATAATGTATAAATATGCTTCAGCAGAACCAATATGTCCAATTCTTACACAAGAAATTGGTCAAACCTTATGCAGTCTTAACTAGAATATAATGATATGATGAAATCAACTGGATTATAATCTGTATATAAACTGGATTATAATCAACTGGATTATAATCTGCCCATTTTACACAATCAAGTGATTATCAAAAGGCATTTACTTCTTTGGTTTTTGAGGTATAATTTGCATGCCATAACATTTACCCTTTAAAGTGAATAATTCAGCAGCTTTTAGTTTATTCATGGGGTTCCACAACCATTACCATTATCTAATTCCAGGAAATTGTCATCACCCCAAAAAGAATACCTGTAAAACCCAAAAAAATTACCTGTAAAGAATAGGCTGTGGATTCTATGTCAGGATTATGTGCAATGTAGAGTGCACTCACGAGAGGTAGAATTGGATTGGTAGTGGGAGGGGGTGGGTAAAGAATCAGAAAAGTTTTCTTAGAGGAGGGTACTACTCCAGGTATATATGATGGTGTGGCATCTTCAGAAAGGCATCCAAAGAGTCAGAATTTGCTCGTATGTATTTCTTTAATGCCATTCAAGGGAGAGGCATCCTGTCCAGTGAACAAAGGTTTTCAAATCTGCTTAGCAGGTAGGTTCCTTTGTTGGAGGTGGCTGCATCATAGCTTGCAGACACCATCCTTTAAGATTCATGTATACATATTTATCTAAAGCAATAATAAAGAAATATATATATATATCTGAAAATAATGTGAAAAGCACTATGACTCCAATAAATGAATGGACTTTTAAAAAACAAGAATAGATAATTTATAAAGGAAGATAAAAGAGATGTTTAGTCAGTCCTTGAAGAAATTCATCATACTGTGGTTCATACATATGGGGCCTTTGTCCAGCTCCAAAGGCCCCTTTCTCTAACTTACCACATTGTAATGCCAGGAGCAGTGTTCTGCAATAATGGGGCTGGTGCCACCTGAGGAAGCAGGGGCTCACTTCCTTCCATACCCATTTCTTCAGGACTCTGAGAGTCTAGTTTCTCTTCTTGCTTTTGGTACATCCCCAGCTTTGTGTTCAGCAGAGTCATGTCTTTGCAAAAGTTCTGAAAACAATAGTAATCAGCTATCTTTTAAAAAATTATTTTACAGGTCTGCTAGTCTTACTGTAGATGATGCAGAGTGCTTTACCTACAGAACATCTCAGGAGCCCACATTGCCAATCTCATGTGAATCACATGAGGAGATCATTGGAGAATGATACTTACCCAGTAGAAAGAGACTTACACATTCACAAAATAAGGTAGCATCATGGTAGAAAATTAAATGAAACCCACATGCTAATCTTTAACTACTGGATTCATGTAGGAAGATAATTATCCTTATATTGAATTCATCTGTTCAATTTGTTCATCTATGCAAAACATATTGACTCATTCCAGGCACTATTCTAGGATACTGTGGTTAACAAAATAGATAAGGAATATGCATTCTATTGCATTCTATTACTTGTGCATTTTTAAACCAAATGGGTAAGGAATCACATGCATGTTTATAGGGGCTGGGGGACAAGCAATAAACGACTAAACATAAATGTACATTAGATATTATAGATTAGGATACATCCTAAAGAGAAAATAAATAAGATCATGAAATAGAGTAGCTGAGGTTTGTTGCTGGGACATCTCCAGATAGGTGGGATGATTAGGCACCTCTGAACAAGTAACAGATTGACTCTCTCATTCATTGCTTCTTTCACCCATTCACATTTACATCAATATATTGTGGGAGTTCAGATATGGAATCATTTTTCTGACTAGTGAAATTTATGGGAGATCTGTATGAGGAGATGGCATTTGCAGACACCATCCTTTGAATGGAGCTGAGCCTTGAAGAATACGTAATGTGTTAATATGGAGGATAAGCTCCAAATGGAGGAGATGTAGAAGCAGCACAGGGCTATGGGATCTTTGGAGTACACATGATGGTGAGATGTTCTGTTGGTCCAAAGCAGAGGGCCAAGAAAGGGAGAAAAAAGTGATAAGGACAGAGAAAGAGAACAGTAGGTGGCATACTCTTACATTCTAGAGAAAGAATTTTCCGTTTATTTACATTTTATCATCATTTGAGCTTGTGTAACTGTGAAATCGTACCTTTATTCTTGCAATGAATTTCTCCTTTAATTCATGAGCTTCATTACAAACATCTTCCTGAAAAGACACCCACAATTTGGGGTAAAATAGAAATTATATTTTTCTGGTTTATTTTTTAAAGATTTTATTTATTAATTTGAAAGAGAGAGAGAGAGCAAAAGAGAGGGAACGAGCGAGTAAGCATAGGAGGGAGGGAGGGGAAGAGAGAAAGGGAGAAGCGGACTCCCCGCTGATCAGGAAGCCTGATGTGGGGCTTGATTCCAAGACCCCAAGATCATGGCCCAAGCCCAAGGCAGACACTTAACCGACTGAGTCACCCAGCCCCATTTTTTTTGGTTTATAACATAAAACCTCACTCATTTTGACATCACTTAGTTGTAAAGTGACTTCTTTGAAACTTACCTTTACTCAGTAAAATTCTTCCACTTATATAGCAAATCTATAATATAATCATGATAAATTACAGGAGACATAATAAAAAAACTAGTATAATTATTTTTAATATTTTAGAAGTATTAATTTATACAATAGCAGCTTATGATAAATCATCTTTTTCTCTATTCATTATTTTTTTATTTTTTAAAATATTTTATTTATTTATTTATTCATAGAGACACAGAGAGAGAGAAAGAGGCAGAGATACAGGCAGAGGGAGAAGCAGGCTCCACGCAGGGAATCCCACGTGGGACTCCATCCCAGGTCTCCAGGATGACTCCCCGGGCTGTAGGCAGCACTAAACCGCTGCGCCACCGGGGCTGCCCTCTATTCATTATTCTTTCGTTGTGCCTTAAAATACTTCCAAGACACTAGGGGCACCTGCGTGGCTCAGTTGGTTAAGTGTCTGACTCTTGATTTTGGCTCAGGTCATGAACTCAAGGTCATAAAATTAAGCCCTGCGTTGGGCTCTATGCTGGGCATGGGCAGCCTGCTTAAGAGTCTCTGTCTCCCTCTCCTCCTTCCTCTGCACACCTCCGCAGCCCCCCAACGTGTGCATGTTCTCTGTCATTCTCTCTCTAAAAAAACTCAAAAACCAAAAACTTCCAAGACACTAGCTGGAGAAACACTATGTTTCAGAGAAAAAAAGAAAATTATATTTCTTTTATATATTTTAAAATTTATAGTATATGAATATAAGTTCTCATTATGTTAGTTTGAATATTTGGACTCTGTAATTTAGCAAAAGAGCTGTCAACAAAAAATGTTTGGTTCCTGTTTTCTTCCCATCTCCTGCAGGTCATCAGGTAGAGATAACAGATGGTTTTGATTAGCTTATATCAATAAGTTCAAGAGACAGGCTTAAAGCAAACCATCTAAGACATGATTGCCAATTATATATATGTCAGGAGTAAATAACTTTAAGTTTTTTCATTAATCTGTAATAGACTTGTAGGATACTTTGAAAGACAGAGCTATAGCAGGAAGAACAGTGTTCTGGGATTCAAGAAAGAAAGGTGCTAGAGGTGCCATTTCTAGAAATATTTCTTAAACAAGAACTTGAAAAAGCAAGCAAAGATACGGATTTCTGAGGCATAGTTTGTAATGGGAAAGATTTATTATAAAGCCCCAACTATCCAATGAAATGGATTTAATCCAAAAATCAAATCCTGCATTATATAAACAATGAAAATGTAAAATGACATTTAGTGGCATAAAAAGTTGCTGAAGAAATATGCTAAGTGAAAACAGCAAGTTGCAAAAAAAAAAATATATATATATATAATATAGTCCCAACAAAATTGTAACAACAACGTGTAAATACATGTATAGGGAAATTTAAAAGAATATAGATATACTAAATATTTATTGTGTTGACCTTTGAAGGAGTAGCATTATTTTTCATTTTTATATGAAATAGCTCTGTTTTAATTATTAAAATAAGCATGCATTGCTTTTGTTAGAAGAAAAAATACACATACTTTTATTTTTTAATTGGGAGAGCAAGAACAAGACTGGTCTTTTCATCTAGAGATTTGGGCAAATCATGTCATGTTCTTGAGTTATGCTTTTCGCCTCTGAATATGAAGGTATAGGCTAAAAGACAGTTCCCTTCTGGTTTAATTCTGAGTCTAATTATCCAATTGGATTCCATTCACTAAAATTCTCCAGATCTGAGATTCCCTTGAAGAACCAATATTCTTCCTTATTATAACACCATTGTGTCATTACCTGAACACATTTGTTATCCATTTCTTCTAATTGCTTTTTAACTTCCATAATCTTCTCCTTGAAAATAAAAGGGCATAAATCAAAGTTATAATTAATTGAAACAAAATGGAGATTTTTTTTTAAGATTTTATCTATTTATGCATGAGAGACACAGAGAGAGAGAGGCGCAGAGACACAGGCAGAGGGAGAAGCAGGCTTCATGCAGGGAGGGACTCGACCCCGGGTCTCCAGGATCAGGCCCTGGGCTGAGGGCAGCACTAAACCGCTGAGCCACCTAGGCTGCCTGGAGAAGATTTTTAGAAGAAAGCTCATTCATAATCAAAAAGTCTGAGATTCAGTAACAACTGTTTTTTTGATACTGCTTTTTTTCTTTTTTTTTTAAGATTTATTTATTTATTCATGAGAGACACACACACACACACACAGAGAGAGAGAGAGAGAGAGAGAGAGAGAGAGAGAGGCAGAGACACAGGCAGAGGGAGAAGCAGGCTCCATGCAGGGAGGGACTTGACCCCGGGTCTCCAGGATCAGGCCCTGGGCTGAAGGCGGCGCTAAACGGCTGAGCCCCCCGGGGTTGCCCTGATACTGCTCTTGATGCTGATCTCCAAAATCAACATTAAGTTGAATCAACACGATAGAATTAGCCACATCCTACATAAGTGGCCCTTGAGCTAGGCACTGTGCTGGTTGGATACATGTTACGAGCATTTACCCCCAAACAATTTCCAGAGAATGTATAGTTACACCCTTCTTTTACTAAATCCATCAATCACCAACTTCTATATTGTGTGACTTAATTATTTAGAAAGGAGCTATGACCTTATAATCACATTTTACTTGGTACCCTGGTTTATTTATATAGTAAGTATCTTTGCACAGTTTTTATCTAAGATAATTGTATCAAAGATAATGGGAGTCAGTCACAGAATGAAAGTCTAGATGTTGATATGGAGATCTCAGAAAGCTTCATGGATTTGGGGGGTTAAATATGACAACAGTCAAGGCCACCTCAAAGTCCTTTCCTAATCTTACCTTTTAAATTTGTTTCTGCTGTGTGTGTGTTTTTAAAGTGATTTTACCAATTTTTCCCTCCTCTCCCTTTCACGTCATTCTGAGTCACTCCAATTCTTCATGAGATATAAATAAGCCAATACATGTGGTATTACTTCAACTTTATTAACTTATTTCTCCTTTAATTTTCCCACTCTTTGGTTTTTGTTTCCATATCTAACAATCTTCACTTTCCTTTCACTGGAGGAAACCTATAGCCATTGCTATTGACTTTGCTTCTGTAATGCTTATATTTAAAATTTTAAATTCATTATATTGCTGCCTTTGCTTTTATGTAGCCTTTCCCATCACTCTTTAGACTTATTGAGGATGGACCTTGTGTCCAGTTTTAGAATCACGTGTATTGAGCTATGATTTATATACTGTAAACCTCACTGTTTAAAAGTGTATGGTTTTCAACATAATCATTAGCACAAGATATAGAATATTTCCATCTATACCAAATTTCCTGTGCTCCTTTGTCTGTCCTCCCTCCCTTTGTGCATACAACTCTAGCAACTACTAACCTCTTTTCTGTTCCTATAGTTTTGCCATTTTCAGAATGTTATGTAAGCTTCTGGATCTGGCTCGCTTCATTCAGCATAATGCATTTGAGACTCATTCATGTTGTTGAATGAGTAAGAAGTCCATTCCTTCTTATTGCTGAGTAGTATTCTATCATATAACATGTACCACACTTTATCCACATACCAGTTGGTGGATATATGGGATTGTTTATAGTTTTAAGTCATGCTATTTTTCAAAGTGCATACAAAGCTGTGCATCCCCAGGACAGAGAATCTCCATATGTAGTTGTCATGCCTTCCCTTTTCATATTATCCTAAGCCTCTGTTGGTTTCTTTTTATTTTTTTATTTATTATTTTTTAAAAGATTTTATTTATTTATTCAGAGAGAGAGAGAGAGAGAGAGAAGAGAGAGAGAGAGAGAGAGAGAGAGAGGCAGAGACACAAGCAGAGGGAGAAGCAGGCTCCATGCAGGGAGCCCGACGTGGGACTCCATCCTGGGTCTCCAGGATCACGCCCTGGACTGAAGGCGGCGCTAAACCGCTGAGCCACCCGGGCTGCCCATGGTTTCTTTTTTAAATCTCACTTTCATTTATCTTTGTGCTCTTCTATCTTTCTCCCCATTCTTATGATACCCATCCCTCACTAACCCTACCTCCTACTGAAATCCACATACCTGTGACACTACTGACTTTTAGAGGAAATTTTGCAGGGCAGGATATTTTTTGGCTTTTGCCCTCTTCTCTTTTCTCATAATTTGCACTTTCCAAAGCCCAAGGATAGTGAAAAAACTCTTGACTTTTCAACTAGCTCAAAATGAGGTTGCTGCTTCAAAATTTTGTACTAAAGCATGGTTAAAAGTATTCCCCCCCCCCATGTTAAATCTGTGCTGATCTGTAGCTGGCTTTTAAGATCTGAAGGGTCCAAATAAACATTACCTTCCTACAATAAAAGAGACATTTCTTCTTTATTTCCTCCAAAAGTCACTTAAGCTTTCTGGCTTGAACTAAAGCAGAGGAGGTAGCAAGACACAGGTTTTTCCATTCTTAGAGATTTTTTTTTCCAAAGGCATGAAGTTTAAAAATACTATCAGCCAGAGCTCTAAAGTCGAATTCTTATCCAAAGTTGGTAACTACCTTTATAACATCTTGAGACTCTTTAAAAAAGGGAAAGTAAACCTTTCGCAGAAAAGAGTGTCTCAGAAGCGCAAGGCAAGAAAACAACAGAAAAACTGGAGCTCATGAAAATCAATATAAGAACTCTTCAAGAAGGCATCAAAGATGAAGACAAATATATCTCTTACATTTTAAGGATGTTATTCACAAATATTTAATTCTGGATGTCTTCTCTGAATTTTAGGTGCCAGGATACAAATATTAGGAAGAGAAGTCTTTTCTTAAGATACCCATCATTGTCTTAAGATGGCATAAAGATATAAGCCTATTGAACTGAGTTTGTAGGTAGAACTAAAAAGTCTAGCCTCTTTGTGTCATCAGGGAATAGAAGGAGTGGATCCCACATGAAAGGTGCTCAGAACTGACCACCAGGGAGCACCACCAGAGAGCACCTCTCCTTGTGACAAAAGATAGGTTTAATTCTTATTATGACCTGGTAAATGATAATAGAAGGGGTGGGAATGGTGGCAAACTCTTCACAACCTCCCAGATTGTCTTTTCCAAGCCTCCAGCTTACCTCAATGTTTGCCCCCTGATCAGGGTCAAGGTCCTGGTGTGACTCCAGCTTTTCAATTTGGCCCTCCAAGGACACCACCTCATTTAGTAAGCTGCAAATAGACCAAGAGATTGATTAAGTCCTATAGATGAAGAAAAATCACCCAATAGGGTTTTTTTTTCATCTTTCAAGAATTAAATCCTATTCTTACATAGAGGACTCTTGAGTAGTGGGGTGTTGGAATGGGATGTCACAAAAGCAATGCAAGAAAAACACTAATCTATATAATAGTAAAGAAATGTAAGGCCTAATTGGATATAGAAGCAGAAAATTTAAAAGATTAAAATGGAAGGAAGCTTAGCTAAATTTCTAGGAAAAAACCCTACAGAAAATATTTGGAACTTAGAACTAGGTAAAGATTTCTTAGACTTGACACCAATAATACTACCTATAAGAGGGAACATTGATAAACTGGACCTCATAGAAACTTTAAAGATTTAGTTTGGCCAAAAACTCTGTTAAATGGATTTGCTTGTCAATATCTGGTAAAGGTCTTATGTCTAGAATATATGAAAGCTTTTCAAGCCTCAACATTAAAAAAATAAACTATCCAATTGAGAAATAGGCAAAATACATGCACAGACATTTCACTAAGGAGAAACAGAGATGGCAAATATGTGAAATGATGCTCAGCACCATTAGCTATTAGAGAAATTCAAATTAAGACTGCAAAGATATATTGCTACAAATTTATCGGAATGGCTAAGATGCAAAATAGCGATAATGTCAACTGCTAATGAGGATGTGGAAAAATTGGGTCACTCAGACATTGGTGGTGGGAATGTAAAAATGGGCAGCCACTCCAGAAAATAGCTTGGTGCTTCCTGTCAAAACTAAAAACAGACTTACCACGTGAACCAGCCATTTCATTCTTGGGCAATTATCCCAGAGAAATGAAGATTTATTTTCACACAGGAAGTTGTACATGAATGTCCAAAGTGGCTTTATTCATAATAGCTGGAAACTAGGAATTACACACTTATCCTTTGATGGGTGAATGGTTAACCAAACTCTCTCTGTATATATATCTATACCATGGAATACTACTCAGCAACCAAAAGATAGGAACTATTGATAGACAAGCAACAGCTCGGATGAACCTCAGGAAAATTATGCTGAATGAAAAAATAAATCTCAATGGGATCCATAATGCATCACTTGATAACATTTATGGAATAACTTGGTTATAGACATGTGGAAATGATTTGTCATTGCTGGTGATTAGGGGAGGGCCAGAGGGAATAGGTGTGACTAAAAAGGGGTAAAACAGAGGAGTCTTGTGCAAGGGTAGATTGAGCATCTTGATGTGGTGGTGGTTTTCTAAGACTACTCATATAATAAATTGCACAGGACTGTATGCATATTTACATGCAAAAATGAGAATACATATAACTGGAAAATCTGAATAAGCTCTGTTTAAAATACCAAGGTCAATTTCTTGGTTTTGATGGTATGCTAGAGTTGGACAAAATGTTACCATTTGGAAAGGCTGAGGGAAGATGAAATGGGCAAATTCCTTGAAAGATACAATCTACCATGATATATACCCAAGAGTTCAGTAGCCTGAATGGCCCTATACATCATTAAAGAAATTCAATTTGTAGTTGAAAATTTTACTGTAATGAAATACTCAGGCAATATGGCTTCACTGGTGAATTAAATCAAACATATAAAGAAGAAATTATGCCAGTTCTACACAATTTTATTCAGAAAATAGGACAAATGGGAAAATATCCCAATTTTTTCTATCAGGCAAGTTTTCTGGTACTAACACATTACAAGAAAGAAAAAGGCCAATATCTCTCATTAACATATCCAAAAATTCCGCTTTAATAAACAGAATCCAACAATATATAAAAAGACCAAGCTGAGTTTATTCTGGGAATTCAAGGCTGGTTCAGCATTCAAAAATCAGTCATTATAATCTCCCATATTAGGAGACTAAAACAAACAAATAAACAAACAACATGATCATTCATAGATGCAGCAAAAGCTATTGAAAAAATTTAGTATCATTCCTGATTTAAAAAATATCTCAGTAAACTAATAATAGAAAACACTTTATCAATCTCAAAAAACAAACAACCCACCCCCCAAACCAGCAAAACACTTCACATCACACTTAATGCTTTTTCTATAGGATTGAGAACAAGGTAAGTATGTCCAGTGTCTGCTGTCATTCCTCCAATTCAACATCATACTAAAAGTTCTAGTCAATATGATAAGGTAGTAAAAAAGAAGTAAAAGATAGATTGAAAAAAGATATAAACCTCCCTCTATTTGCAGATGACATGATTATCTATGTGGAAAATCCCAAATAACTTACAAAATTACTGGAACTAATAAATGAAGTTAGCAAGGTCACAAGACCAATATACAAAAACCAACTGCATTTCTATAGCCTAGCAATCAATAATTAGAGATTAGAAAAATTTTAAGTATGATGGCACCAAAAGCATTAAAAACTTAGGCATAAATCTAACAAAATGTGATACGTCTGTACCCTGAACATAAACAACACAAATAGAAGGAATCCCTTTGACTCAAAGCCTGTTCTTTTTATACCAGTGACTACATAAATAACAGTTACTCTTATCTTTTCTGTTTCATCTTAAAATTTCTTACTTAAATTCAAATATGCATTAACACTCATTCTTTTAAATACTTTTTTCATGTCATGCTGGTTGGATCCCTTTGGACAATACTGGGTAAAGCTCAAGAGTTATTGGGGACTTGAAGTCCTTCCTTTGATGACTATTAACATAGCTACAAAAAAAGATCCTATAAGTGAAGTCCTTTCCTTGAGAAAAGAGAGAGCCAAAATGCAGATAACTTTGATATACACTTTCAGATTTTGTGACATTGACTTCTAAATCCAAGACTTGGTACTTCTTATTCTGAAGACTTTTCCTGAAAGATTTTACCACCTTAAACCAAGAGTTTCTGAGGCTACGAAAATTTTCAGAATTTTTTGACAAAACCCAGCACCCTAAATTACCTCTTCACTGTGTTCTCTGTTAGGTTTATTTTTTGTACAATATTATTAATTTTCTCTATCCAGTCTGTGTGATCAGCTCTAAGTTCTTTCACTTGTAGTCCCATCTGTGTATTCCAGTGGTTTAGCTGGAAGAACATGTTCTCCTGACTCCTGCAGAAATATTATTATGATCAGCTTTAAGGTAGGAAATGGTAAACATCTTCAAATGGCCCCAAACCTTCTTCCTTTGAATGACAGGTTGGTATGCTGATTCATTTCCTGCCACTAAAATGTGCCAGGTAGGCAGTTAGGCCTCAAAAAAAAAAAAAAAAAGTTTTGAGCATTTATTTAATATCCATTTAAAAAAAATAATATCCATTTTAGCAGATCTTCATAAGGCTGGAGATAATAAAATGTATCTTACATTTAATTTTAAAAATGATGTATTTTTAATTTCCCTGCATGGAGTGAATGTTGAGAATTACACTATCTTAATGAATGTTAGGACAGTGATTCCATCTTTTTAGGAGTAGAGAGGTATGAAATATGGAAAGAATCTACAAGGACTTAATAATACATTTTTATTGATAATTTTTTTCATATCTAGAAAATTATCTGTGAATGACGATATATGCATTAATTTCAGGCTCCAAAGAAGGGCTGGGAAAAAGAAACCCATGGCTCTGCCTACATCTCTAGAAATATCCTTAGTCCACATTTTTAAAAAGATTTTATTTATTATGAAAGACAGAGAGAGACAAAGACATAGGCAGAGGGAGAAGCAGGATTCCTGTGGGGAGCCCCATGTAGGACTTGATCCAAGGACCCTGGGATCACAATCTGTTCTGAAGGCAGATGCTCAACACCACTGAGCCATCCAGGTGTCTCATTACTCTATATTCTTACTGGAATGTGTATATAGTTACTTGTGCACATGAGTGCTTAAAGGTTTAAGACATACATGGATTTTAAATTTTCCAGGCTTTCCTTAAGTTCTCTGCTAAATTTCATTTTCTCCATAAAATACTGTTTTTTTTTAAATTGAAGTTTGAGGGGATCCCTGGGTGGCTCAGCAGTTTAGTGCCTGCCTTCAGCCCAGGGCGAGATTCTGGAGTCCCAGGATCAAGTCCCACATCAGACTCCCTGCATGGAGCCTGCTTCTCCCTCTGCCTGTGTCTCTGTCTCTCTCTCCCTCTCTCTGTGTGTGTCTCTCATGAATAAATAAATAAAATCTTAAAAAAATAAATTGAAGTTTGATTTACAGTGTTAAATTAGTTTCAACTGTACAATGTAATGATTCAACAGTTCTATACATTACTCAGTGATCATTGCAATAAGTGTACCCTATATCCATTTTATCTATTTTACTTATCCCTCTATACTCACCTCTCTTCTGGCGACTACGTTTGTTCTCTATACTCTTAAGAGACTGTTTTTTGTTTGTTCATTTGTTTTGTTTCTTAAATGTTACATATAAGTGTAATCCTATGGTATTTTTCTTTCTCTGACTGACTTATTTCATGTAGTATTATACCTACAAAATATTGAGTAATTCGTTTTGCATATGTCAAGGCTTACAGTTCAGGGATGTTCCCCTCTGAGAACTGCAAAGATGTGGATACGTGAGGATCCTCATGTTGAACCTGATTTGTTTCTTGCTCATTCTGTTCATTCTGTTCATCATCCTGACGATGCTCAGCCTCCAGCTCCAATGTATTCTAAGGAAGATTATCAAAGAAGTAAAGCAGAAAATAAAGGGTTATCACAAGAGGAGATGGTCTCTTTAGCCTACTCATCCCCCTTTCTCTGGAGGGCAAATATAGAACCCTCTCTGAGGTAGGAGCCTTCTAATGCATTTATAAAATAAGTAGACATGCCCTCCTGCTCCATTGACAGAGGAAGGCTGGGGCAGAGACACGTAGAACATTAGTGTTCTCATGCAGAGCTCTTTTCAGTGCTGGTGAGTAACAGAATTCCACTTGACCATGGAAACTAGCACTCCACTCAAGATGACTGGTTTCCAAAAAAGTCAATGTCAAGGAAAAGTAAATGGGGATGGAACTATTTTATATTGAGTCTAAAGAGATATAACAACTAAATGCATTGCATGGACCTTGTTTGGATCTGATTTTAAAAGCATGGGCAAAAAAAAATAAAAAATAAAATAAAATAAATAAAAGCATGGGCATTTGCCAGGTTTTGGCACCAAAAAACAAAACAAAAACCTTAAAAAAATAAAAGTATGGGCATTTGAGGAAGAATTGAAAAAATTAGAATGTTCAGAGAATTGAGGATATTAGATTATATCATAGAATTATTGCTAATTTTCCTGATGTGATGTTGGAATCTTGGTTATGTAGAAGAAAGTCTTTATTTTTAGAAATGCTGTCTGAAAATAAACAGGAATAAAGTCTCATGCTTTCTTTGACCTACTTTTAAATGGTTCAAAAAATTCCATCTATCTACACATGTAAAGAGAAAGCAAATGTGACAAACAGTAACAATTTTAAAATCTAAGTGTGAGAATATATTGATCTTCATATAATTCATTTAAATTTTCTTTTTATTTAAAATTTTTCATAATAAGGAGTCATAAGAGTGGAAAAGCCTACTTTATCAGTTTAACCCACGAAGTTTTTCTTTCTTTCTTTTTCTTTCTTTCTTTCTTTCTTTCTTTCTTTCTTTCTTTCTTTTCTTTGCCTTGTTCTAGAAAAACATTCAAGGCATTTTCTGATATTTCACTTCTATGCATGCACACAGCTGACAATAGTTTATCTTTGAACATTTCTTTAGTAACTACATTGTGAAACATTTAGCTGTCCTTTGAAGAAGTTTGGTCTGAAATTTATGTGTTTCGGCAGAACTATTTTTAAACTGGAAGGAGAAAAAGTTGGAGTGCAGATCACTCTGTTATTGAAATGCCTGGATAAATTACTGACCATGTCAACAGTAATAACTAACATTCACACAACTCTTGGCAAACTTCTTTCATGTGCCTTCTTTCCTGTAATTCCCATGATAGACCTGAAGTGGATAAAGTCAGGTGTTGAAATCCCCGAGGTCATTCATATTAATAATTAGCCCAAGGTTCTACGGTACAGTGGGTTGAATGGTCCCTCCAAAAAAGATATGGCCATGTCTGAATGCTAAGCCCCTGAGAATGTGACTTATTTGGAAAAGAGTCTTTGTGGATGTAAAGAGTTAAGGGTCTTAAGATGAGGCTATCTTGAATTACCTGGGTCCTAAATCCATGAGAAGTGTCCTAATGAGAGGCAGAAAACACCTCCACGGAAGGGGAGATCATGTGAAGACAGAGGCAGCCACGTGCCAAGAAATACCTGGAGCCACTAAAAGCTGGATGAGACACGGAAGGATGCTTTCATAGAGTTCAGAGGGAGCATGGCCCCACTGACCCCTTGATTTCAGACCTCTGCCTCTAGGATTATGAGAGAATACATATTGGGTTGTTTTAAGCCACTAGGTTTGTGGCAATTTGTTACAGCAACCTTGGGAAACCAGTAAGTGTGTAGACTAGAGCTTGAAGTAGGTTTTCTGATTCTAAGACTGTGACTGTTTTCATCTTATCTAGTCCTTGGATCCACATTAAGAACTAGTCTCTACCACTGTCACTTCCACAATCCAGTGGCACCTTACTATTGAGGTAAGGGTTATTATCATACTTACAGATGAAGAAACGATGGCTAAATTTTCATGTACTAGATAACTCCATTATATCTTAGCTACTTCTTTGTGAATAATAAGCATTCACAATGTCAATTTTGTCCCACCTAATCTTTTGCCAAGGTATTCAAAGGCATCAGGAATATTGTGATATAAAGGAAAAACACCTCATCAGATATGGAGGACCTGAGTTCTAAGCCTTGTTCTACTCCTGTGTATATTGAGCCACCTAACCACTCTAAAGCTCAGTTTCCTGTTCTGTAAGAAGGAAATGGGACCAGATCATCTCCAGAGTTCTATGTCCAAAAAACCTACAATGACATTTCTCATTTTCATTAATCAGTTTACTATAATGATTAGTACACCACAAAAGAGTCAAAAGTCAGGAAGTAGAAATCAAATATTTTTTAAAAGCTGCAGGATTGAACAAATACAGAGGGGTGTGTGTGTGTGTGTGTGTGTGTGTGTGTATTTTAATAACAAACAAAGTGTTCCTGCATGAAATACAAAGCCTGAGGGTATTACTTTCCATTTTTGTGTAGCTCTTTGAAAAGCTCATATGTCTCTGTCTTGAGTGTTCCATAGGCACCTTAAACTCAGCAAGCAAAGAACTGAACTCATCATATTTCCCCTCCACCTTGTCCAGGTTCTCATCTTTACATATGTTTCCCCTATTCATCCAGATGCTTCTGCAGGAACCCTGAAAGGAGTCCTTATGTTTTCATGAGAGAGATTCTTTCCCACTTTATCACTCATGTCACATCTACTTGATGTCCAAGCCCAATAACACTTATCTTTTAAACCTGTATCCTTTTCTCTCCATCTTCATGGCTGCCAGTCTGTGTCTTGCTCTGTGGTCCTCATCACTTCTGCCTCCTATTGGCATCCTGGCTCCCAGCCTGCATCCTGTTCGATCTCCATCTCCTTAGTGATCTTGCTGCTCACTTGTTCATCACCCCTTTTCTTTCACCCTTCCTCTCTCAGAACACAAGTTCCCTTTGGTCCTTTTGTCTTTGTAGGTACTGTCCCTTTCTGAAATGCTTTTCTTCCATCCAGTTTATTCTTCAAAATTCGGTTTTCCTATTCCTGGTTGTCTGCCTGTATAGCATCAGCCATGTACTTTGTAGCACACCTGCTACATCTAGCATGGATTTATCACAAATAGTCATTTTCTTGTCTGATTTCCTACTAGTGTGTGGGCTCACTGAGGGGAAAGGATTTTAAATAAATAGAGAAAGAGGTATGTTCCACTCTTTGCAGTGCCTAGAACATGGTGGATGCTCAAAATGGGGTTTAGAATAAATAGATTTCCTATGCTCACTGCAGCACTATTTATAATAGCTAAGACATGGAAGCAACTTAAGCATACATCAATAGATGAATGGATAAAGAAGATGTGGTATATACACACAATGGAATATTTTTCAACCATAACAAAGACTGAGATCTTGCCAATTGTGACAAAACGGATGGATCGAGAGGGTATTAGTCTAGGTGAGATCAGTCACACAGAGAAGACAAATACCATATGATTTCACTTCTATGTGGAATATAAAAAACAAAGCAAATGAGTAAACAAAACAAAACAGAAACAGATTTATAAATACAGAGAAAAAACTAGTGGTTGCCAAAGAGAGGAGTGAAGTAGGGGAGGGGGATTGGGAGGTACAAACTTCCAGTTATGAAAGCAAAATAAATAAAAAGTCTACATAAGTAAGCAAATACCTAATACATAAGTAGGCAAATGCTTGGGAGAGATGCAGACAAAAGCAGGAAATAGGAAAGTGTACTCACTCATCTGGCATCCAAAATCAGCACTATACATAGTAGTGCCAGAAATTGGAAAATGTGAAACCAGAGCAAAATATTCATTTCTAAATATTTGGGGGGCTTTGATGGTTAGATATGGCAATTTTGACAGCCTGGCTAAAGTCTATTTTGTTAATTAAGCCAGCTGATTTTTAAAAATTTCTGTTAACTCTTGTCTTTTTTCTGAACCTTTAAATCTTATGGTTTCATAAAAAAAACAAATGTAAGATTATGCAAATTAAAGATCTTTTGGTTTACTTTCAGAGAATAAGAAATCTGTTTCTTTCCCAAGAAGGCATATACTTGTCCTTTTATTGGCAAAGAGCCTAGTTTATTAGTCCCCATGTTAATTAAGTAGCTGTATGTGATTTATTTTTATATGATTGTACAATTTGCCATATAAATAAATTGATATAAAGAAATATAGCCAAAATCCTTTTGGTAAACCTTATACCCTGTCTTGAAGTTTGTAAGAAATAGTCTTTTTGCCTTATACACTGAGAATGTGGACTATTTGGTAAACTCTTAGAGTGAATAATTTTATTCTCTAATTAGACTTATTCTGATCTGAACCGAGTCAACAAGTGATGTTCCCTGCCTGGCAGGATTCAGCAGGTCACATTATGCTGTGCGTGCAGGGAAGGTGTCCTGGCAAAGTGGGTCTAATGGTAGCAGCCTTTGCCTGGAGTCCAGGGACAAGCCTCCCCCCAATCCCAATCAGATGATACTATTTATAGAGTAATACCTTCAATTCCTGTGTTCCCTAAAATCATAGCACCTCATACCTCAATTGCCCTATTTCCTTTTCTCACCTTAAGGCTTCCTAAAACCCCCATCCCAAGTCTCCCCTTCTAAATCAATTCCTATTATTCTTTTTTTCCATAGAAGCTGTCTATCTGTCTGTCTCTCCTTTTGCTTTTTGTCTGTATCACTATATCTATTCTCCACATCTCCATCCTCTCATGCCTTCTACCTACCCCTTTCTATTTCTTTTTTTGTTTACTTCCTGAAGAGTCCTTGAAGGTAAGGTCCGGCTTAGAATATTCTTTCATGGCCTTTCTTTCTATGGATTTACAGAATTAGCCATTTCTGAATCCAAAATATATACTCAAAGGAGAAGTAGAGAAAGAGATCAATCCTGAGCTTCCTTTGGGGGCTGCATCAGCTTGGAGATGGACATTCCCACTCTATCCTTCTTTTGTGTTCTTCTGACTGGTTGAAACCAAGGATCAGTGGCCTGGGGAATCTATGGAGAGATTTGCTCATCACTAACAACTGAGTCTGTCTTAGCATGCCTCTGCTTTGATATAAATGGTGGCGAAAACAAAAACCCTTTCCAGGAAAATCTCAGGTGTTTGTTGAAATTTCCTCCATTCTATGTCAGCCAGGTGAGTGAATTTCAAAGATGGAGAGATGTTCAGACTAAATTGGAGTAACTAAATCACTCTCATGCTTCCTGTTGGAAGACAATCTGTGAGCAGGGGGCGATTTGACATATGGCAATTTGCTCTAAGGTGAAAAATGTCACAGTTTTTTCACAAATCCCAAAGACCCAAGTAACATATAATGCACAGGTTTTTGTGTGGGAAGGTCAGCAAGTCCCTCATGGGATAACAGCAGACCTCAGATGAGATACTACCTCCCTCCTGGTTTCAAGCCCTGAACACCCTGCACCCATTATAAGGAAGTCCTTATATATTTCCTTACAATGTCCAGATAGGAGATGTGAGTTTCCCCTCTTCACCCACTGCAACAAGTCTCCCTCTTACCCATTTTGTAGTCTCTGTCCCACGAAGGAAGCCAGTTTGAGGCTTTTTGGAGAAAATGCTGTCCCCATCATCTGATCTGTCCAAGATGTGGTCCATTTTGGTAAATTCCCTTAGTAAACTGCAAACCACACAATCAAAACAGGTGCTGTTATCAGGTCTTAGGTATACAGTTTAAATCTGCCCTAAACATTTCTAGAGGGAGGACACTGGAATCTTTTCCGGCCCCCAGGAGCACCTGCTGCCTCTGTACTGATTTGACTCTGTGTGAATAGTACACTGCACAAAACAGGAATAGAGAGGCTGGGTAAGGATTTGCTGACTGAATCAATAAGTGATTTAGCAGTGAGATTTCAAATTCCAAAGCCATTGCAGCTGTGTAGCTGTCTGTGCACAAATGCTTATGTAAAATAAACAGTAGTAAATAAATACCCTTTTTAAAAAGTAGAGTAAAAAAGTGTCATGTGGTTCAAAGACTATGCAGAATGGAGTAAGTTTGCGATATTTTCCTGATCTCAAGCCCCTGGATATACTCTCCACATTTACTATTTTCTCCTTTCTTCTTCCACAGAGATTCTATGCCCAACTCAGTAGCCATGTTAATGTAAATATTTGTCTTTTTAAATATACATGAGAGGATATTATACACACTGAGGTTTTTAAAAACCTCGTGGAGTCCATTTCATATTAGCACATATAGAGCTGCTTCATTTTATTTTATTTTATTTTACTTTTCAAAGATTTATTTATTTATTTTAGAGAGAGAGAGAGATACCACAAGCAAGGGGAGGGGGAGGCAGAGAGATCCTCCAGCAGACTCCCCATTGAGCATGGAGCCAGGATGTGGGGCTCGATCTCACAGTCCTGGGATCGTGACCTGAGCTGAAATCAAGAGTCGGACGCTTAACTAACTGAGCCAGTCAGGTGCCCCTGCCTCATTTTTAAAATGGTTATATGGTATTCTCTTGTGGGCCCATACACTAATTTGCTAATGAGTTCTTTATTAATGCATATATGGATGGTTTCCAGTTAATTGCTACTACAAACAATGCTGTAATGAATATCCTTACACATCTAGGTGTCAACGTACATGTGTACAAGTATATCTATTAAATAACCCTAAAAATCGATTTACTGAGTCAATAGATATATATTTTTTAAATTTTGGTAGATGTTACCAAGGTATGCCATAAAGAGCTTAAATCCATTTTATACTTCTAGCAAAAATGATGAGCGTGCCTGTTTTCCAGTCCTTTCCTACAACCATGTATTACTAAAGTTTTTGATCTTTGCCAATCCCATATGCTTCAACTGGTATTTCATTTTAGTTTTAAACTTTTTTATTCATGCGACTAAGCATCTTTGCCTATGTGTATAAAACTCATTGATATTTCCTTTTCTATGGTAAGTGTGTCGATAACCTTTGCCCATTTCCTATTGGACTACTGTTATTTTCTGGAGTGCATATGTGTGTGTATATGCACATACACACATGCTCATATGCTCATACACTCACATATACTTCTGAGTGAATCATAATGAATTTGTGTTGGAGGTCTACGGCAGTAATTTCCAGTCTCTGGGTTTTGAACCTTGAGGTGGGGGACACTTTCACATATCTTGCATAGAAAGAGGTTTTGGAATTTCTGAACATTTCTATGGATTGCTTGATTAACTGAACACTGCTCAAAGTTTCCAATGTATATATGACTGTTATTAATAAATTATAAATGCATTTAAAAACATCTTTGATGTTGTAATAGCTTTTTTGAGGAGGATCCTGGAAAGTCTTTTACTTAATACATTTATTACTATTTAAAAAGGTTGTTGGGGGGGATCCCTGGGTGGCTTATCGGTTCGGCGCCTGCCTTTGGCCGAGGGCGTGATCCTGGATTCCCGGGATCGAGTCCCGCGTCGGGCTCCCGGCATGGAGCCTGCTTCTCCCTCTGCCCCCGCCCCCCGCCTCTCTCTATCATGAATAAATAAATAAAATCTTAAAAAAAAAAAAAGAAGGAGCCCAGAAATCCAGAAATTAAAAAAAAAAAAAAAAGGTTGTTGGGCAGCCCCGGTGGCTCAGCGGTTTAGTGCTGCCTTCGGCCCAAGGTGTGATCCTGGAAACCCAGGATTGAGTCCCTCCTTGCATGGAGCCTGCTTCTCTCTCTGCCTGTGTCTCTACCTCTCTCTCTCTCTCTGTGTCTCTCATGAATAAATAAATAAAATATCTAAAAAAATAATAAAATAAAAAGGTTGTTAACCGTTGGTTTATATTAGAACGTATTTTTATCATGTATAAACAAATGAATGTATATGAACATTTTGTGCTTTGTTTACTCTAGAAAGTATTGTAAATGGTTTGTATATTTTGCAGGCAAAGGTAATAAAGGCACAAAACAATCAAAGTATTTTTGCAAAATGAAATGAGAGCCTTGACCGTTTCTATTTAATTGATATCCACCTGGTTCACGACTGTAGGCCCCTTCAGTGTCTCAATAAGTATTCATGAGGTCAAATTAGAAAGATTGTAGAGAAGACTGTCAACCCCATCCCTGAACTTGGCAATCTCATTATTTCCATACTACTGTCCTGAGGAAGTCTCTGGACAGGACCACAGAAACTGCGCCTGAGAGGCCAGGCTTCACTTACTTCTGCATTGCACCTTCGGCCATGTCCATATTGTGGAGAAAGCCATTGTTTTTCTCAGTCAACTGTTCTTTCCCAGCTGTCTTCATCTGCAGAGATGTCTCGTTACTTAGCTTTGGAAGAGCCATTTCTTCAGCACTGCAGGGACAATGATGGTGACAAGAGGATTTTCACAGCGGGATTGGCAACTACATTCCCCACCCTGAAACACTGGTGTATATTTCAGGGATCTTGGCCTTAACCCTTCTCTGTCTCAAACTGGACATCAGTTGTAAGGGACCCAAAGTAAGCTCTAAGATTTCTCTGTTCAAATATATATACAGGAAAGTCTTTGTGTGTGGCTGTTCCTTAGGACTTCTCTGGTTAACATGAGGGTTGTTGGAGGATGCAAATGTGTATTTTGAGTCCTTGAATGGACTATTAGAGAGCAATATAAAAGAGCCAGGCAAGGAAGATGGAGAACTTCATTTTTATAATCTCCTTCTAATTGTATGTATATATGTACACTGTAAAAAATAGAAAAAGAGGAAGAAGGAAATAAAAATCATTGGTACCCTACAGATAACCAGAGATACCCTGGAGGTATTCAGACAAAACCACTGTTAATACTGTTGTATTTATTCCCATTTCTTTTTTTTTAAGATTTTATTTATTGATTCATGAGAGACATAGAGAGAGGCTGAGACACAGACAGAGGGAGAAGCAGGCTACCTGCAAGGAGCCTGATGTGGGGCCTAATCACTGGACCCGGGATCCAGGATCAAGCTCTGAGCTGGAAAGGCAGATGCTCAACCAGTGAGCCACCCAGGCATCCCTATTTATTTGCATTTCTGAACTTGAGATTCATCTTATTCTTTTCCTATTGTTGACAATTAGGTTATTTCTAATATTTTACTAATATAAATAATATATTAATGAATATCTTTGCTTAGTAATTCTCAGTGAGTCTATATTATTTTATTTACTTAGGATACTTCTTTAGAAGTAAAACTACTGAGTCAAATGTATATGTTTTTGGGCTTTTTTTTTAGAGATTGAGAGAGAGAGAGCAGGGTAGGGGAGAGGGAGAAGGAGAGAGAGAATCCCAAGCAAAGTCTACACTCAGAGCAGATCCCCACTCAGGGCTTGATCTCAGGACCCTGAGATCATGACTTGAACCGAAACTAGGAGTCAGTCACTTAGCTGCCTTCAGCTCAGGCCCGCCAAAGCGCATATGCTTTTTCAATTTTGATTTTTTTAATTAATTAATTAATTAATTTATTGAGCAGGGAGAGGGGAAGAGAGAGAGAGGAGAGAGAGAATCTCCAGCAGACTCCTCACTGACATGGAGCTCAATCCCATGACCCTGAGATCATGACCTGAGCTGAAGTCAAGCATCGGATGCCCAACTGACTGAGCCACCCAGGTGTCCCTGTATATACATTTTTAAGGACTTAAGAAAAATATTCCCAGATTACTTTCCTAAAGATTCAACCACTATACACCACCAGAAGCTGTATATGAGAAGGGGAACTTTCATTCCTGCCAGACAGGCAAGTGTTAGTGGGTGGCGGTGGAGTGAATTGTTAGAATGCTGATGTGGTGAGAAACATAAAGGTGAAAGGAAATAGAAAGGGAGTAGAGGGGTGTGAGACAGGTTCTAGAAAGCTCATATGAAAAGCTGTAAGAAAGGATCCATATGAAATATAACTCCTAGTTATTGGCAGGAATCACAAGGATTTTACCCACCACCAAGCTGGAAAAAACCTCCGCTAGAGGGTGGCCTGGCCTCCAGGAGCCTGAGAGAATCACTGAGGGCCTGAGGGGACTGGAGACAGAAGGGAAGGGGTAGCAGGGATTTCCCTAGAAGGGTGAATTATGGCTGAAATGACGAATGGGAGGAAGAGAGAGACTTTGGGAACCTGAGATTTTGGAACCATCTGGGTAGCCAGTGGCCTGGTCTACCACTTTGTGGCAAAATTGTGCTTTGTGTTTAACCAGGGTGGGGATCCACAGTGGATGTGGTACAAAGGGGACCCCTGTGAAGCAGAAGCAAAGGGAAACACTAGAACCTTTGATGTGAGTTAGCTCCATCCTTCTTTGAGTGTGACCACGAAGAATAAAACGTTGATCTCTTTCAGGAGGGACACTGTGACCCGCCCAGTTTCATCACAGCGCCTATCCGGACAGTTTCATCTGTTTCCTGAAGATGTTAAGCATTGCTAAGGCAATTCCAAGCTCTGAAAGATGAATGGCCATGAAATCTGCCTGGTGCCATGTCTCTTTCCTGTCCAAAAATTAGAATACTGTGCAAATAATATTTCCTTATTTTGGTAATTCTCTGACAACATAAAAACTTCCACTGGGTGATTAAAAAAAAATCTGTTTCTGGGGCACCTGGGTGGCTCAGGTTGAGCATCTGCCTTCAGCTCAGGGTGTGATCCTGGGGTCCTGGGATCCAATCCCGCATTAGGTTCCCCATGCAGGGAGCCTGCTTCTCCCTCTGCCTATGTCTCTGCCTCTCTCTGTGTGTCTCTCATGAATACATAAATAAAATCTTAAAAAAGAAAAAGAAAATCTGTTTCTGCAGATTTCTGCATCTCTTATTTCAAATAACAGAATCCTACTGATGGCTTATGTCTGTGCAGCTCCTAATAGATTACAAGCACTTTTCACATGTTATCTTATTCAGTTACCAGAACAACAGAGTGAGGAAGGTATTGTTCCTGTTTTATGTGTGTATTGTCTGAAGCTCTGGGAGATGGCATGATTGCCTTAGAGTCATACAGTTGGTTAACTAGCAAAACTAAAAATTTCCATGTCCTCACAACTACCTATAAGGGATTTCTCTCTCACTCCAAAAGATATTCTAGACCAGGGCTCCCCAATAAAACTTCTGTGATGTTGGAAATCTTTTATACACTATTCAGTACAACAGGCACCAGTCATCTGTGTCTATTGAGCACTTAAGATGTAGCTAGAGCAACTGAGGAATTTAACCTAAATAAATTTAAATTCAAATAACCATGTGTGGCTGGTGGCTACCTGCTTGAGACTCTCTTTCTCTCTGCCCCCTGCCTCTTCACCCATGCCACACTCAATCTCTCTCTCTCAAATAAATATATTTTTTTAAGATTTTATTTATTTATTAATAAGAGACACACAGAGAGAGAGGCAGAGACACAGGCAGAGGGAGAAGCAGGCTCCATGCAGGGAGCCCGATATGGGACTCGATCCCGGGACTCCAGGATCGCACCCCAGGCAAAGGTGGCGCTAAACCGCTGAGCCACCCAGGGATCCCCAATAAATCTTTAAAAGGATAAATAAAATCACACATTTGGACAAGCATTATTTAAAGGAACAGGTCAACTATTTCAAAGGACAGCTGATGAAATCTTTAACTTACATTTCATGGAAGATTTTCTCCAGGCCTGACCACTCAGATTACCCTCTTCAGTACCTGCTAGCCAGACAATTTGGGATCCCAGAAATTTTAAGGCATGGTTCTAATAATCACTGATTTGACGTCACCGTAGTTTCCTGGTCAGGTTGTAATGAGATGGTACAGCTGTGAAATAGTATATGCCTGGTGATATATCCTTGTTCCTCTCGGTTCAGCAATCACAACTAACCTCTCAATTCAGTGGGGTAGACTAGTGACAGTTAAGTTTCCCTGGAAAGTTCTGGTGATGCCAGATCAGCCTTTCCCCAGCACCAAAGGCAAAGAAGAGGCCATTTATGAGTGGTACACACTTAAGCAGGTGAGTTTGCAGTTGGACTTGCCCTCCCTGACATTCCACATGGAATGTGGCACATGCAACCTTCAACCCCCTCTCACAAGGTTCCAGGTGTGCAGTGCTCTTTGGTTTTTTAAAATTACATATCCACCTTGTCTCCCAGCTTCCTTGCTTCTCCTGCCAACTCTTTAAAAACTAAGTCCAGCCCTCTGTCCATCTGTCTATTGACACGATGCTCAGGGATGCCCTTCTAACTTCAGCTGCTCCTGGCATGCTCGCTCCTTTAACCTCCTTGTCTGAACAAGGCATCCAAGACCTTCTACAACAGAGGACATGACTTCTCCCATTTCCCCCCTACTTAGCAGGAATGAGAAAGAAGTCGATCTGGTAAACCAGGGCTACTCTTACTTTATGGCTCTGTCATCTATTCACCTTTGAAATCCATACTTCCTCTTATTCTCTACCACCCACTCACTGCTTCCAAGACTTCAGTGCCAAGTTCACATTTTCCTCATCTCCTTCCTTCATTTTGGGGGAACTCGGCGCCCATGGGAGGGGGCTAGCATCCTGACTTCAGGGATCCTAAGCTGCCAACTCTTAAAGCTTTCCTTTATGACTACCCAAATTATTTGGCAGCATGGTGGTGAAATCAGAACGACCTTTAGAAGCATGACCTTTAGAATTAGGTCAGTGTTTCAAACCTGCCTTTGCCATTTATTAGCTATTTGGTTTATGGCAGAATTTAATTTCTCTGTCTGAAAAACATGCTTGAGAATATTTGCCTACTTGGTTTGTCAAGAAGATTAAGGCAATAATTTGAGAAGGGAGTTTAGGGTATTACTGGATGATTGCTAGTGTTCTGGCTAGAGTGTAGGCTCTATGAAAACAGTGATGGCTGTGTGTTGTTGACTTCTGTATCCCAGCATTAGGTGAGAGGCTGGCACTAGGCACTCCAAAAACTTTTGTAAAAGAAATGAAATGAATGCATATATGGTAGCCATGTTTTCTATGTCAATGTTTTAGGTCTTGTCATCACCCTGAGCATCTCATCAGTTAAAAAGCTCAAAGTCAGATGTCTCATCTTTCTCCTTCTGGGCTTTCCTATGTGTTCTATCTAATTAGAAACCCAGACCCCATTACCTTGTGACCTCCATAGTAGCTGCTGGGCCAACCTTCAGTCTTGGGTTCCTGCCTCATATCATGACTATGCTCATACCTTTGATTGTCCCACATAGCACTATGCTTCTTGAAGAAAAATCATGGGGTGCCTGGGTGGCTCAGTTGGTTAAGCATCTGCCTTCAACTTGGGTCCTGATCCCCGGGTCCTGAGATTGAGCCCTGCATTGGGCTCCCTGCTCTTCACTTCTCCCTCTGCTCCTCCCACCAGCTCATGCTCTCTCTCTCAAAGAATT